CCAAGTACATATGTATGTATGTATGTATGGGCAGTCCATTTGCTTCATTCATTACAAGCGCGGATGAAACGGTTTTGTGTGAATGCTGTAACGGATTTCGGTTCAAACTGATTTTTTAACCGACTTCACAAGAAGGAGGAAGGTTATCAATTCGTCGGAATATATATACTTTTTTTTTATGTATGTTATCGCATTACTTTGGACCTCGTTAACCGATTTCCATAATTATTTTTTTAAAGGAAAGGTGTTACCTCGCGAGAGATTAGCGATAATCTTAAATATTTTTTATTAGAATTGAAGTCGGTTTTGTTTTTTGCTTAAAAATGTATACATATGTATATGTATATGTATACTCCTTCCACCAGCGCATTGGTGAGAGCGCTGCGCAAGCGCGCCCGACCGCGAAAAGCGAATCGCGGGCAAAGCTGCTATACTTTAAGCACCTCATTGGTTTTGCTGTAGCTGCAGCTGCAACAGCCGCTGTCAAAGATTTACCGCTACGGCTTTTCATTTCCGAATTCATTATATCATTTTCAAATGATTACCTGTATTATAATATTGTCGCTATTGTTTTTGTTGGTGTTGGATGTTGGTTATTATTGTCTGATGGATACATATATACACTTGTGGTTTGGAACAACAAAACCAACAGCTGAATGTTTTACTTCTTACTTTTACAACTATGAACCCGTTTGGCAGTTTTCTTGTACCCCAGTTTTCTTGTCAAACAGAGCGAAGAGTTGAGTTTACCGCCGCAAATCAGCTGTTTTCCTTTCGATTTCATTTCCATTCAATTCACTTAAGCTAATGTTGCATACATGCATACATATTTCTGGCAATACGTACATATGCACATACACACATGCATGCATGAATACCCACCAAACATTTTTTGTTGCTGGCGATAAGAAATCGTGTCGCCCTCGAAAACAATTTTATTGCCAATCGCTCGAAAACGTCCGCCGAAGGCAACTCGCCTGAGCGAGTCACAAAGAGATCAATCACAAAATAAATTATCAAAATATTGTCAATCACATTACAAAATTAAATGCATTTCATTTCACTCGAGCGAGGAGCCAATTTCCGACAGGCAAATCGCGAATGACAGCGACTGCGTGGTCATTTTGCGACTGACTTGACATTTTGCGGTAGACTTTGACATTTGAGCCATGGAACCGAACGAAATGCTAAAAAAAATGTGTCTCCAATGTTTCTCAACCCATTCTTAAGTTGATAAACAATATTTGAGAAAGATTTGAGAAAATGTTTAGTTTCAAATGTTAAATCAAGTTGAGAAATAAGATTTCCCCAAGCATTTGAAAATTGTTTTCCAGTGTTTGTTGGGATAAAAGGTCTTTCAAATATCACACATACATATTTATGTCATTATTCTGCATAACACCTAACTGATTTTTTCCAATAATGAGATTTATTGGAAAACTTTCTTGCGTTGTTTAGGATTTATTTTCTGATAATAAAGCATTATTAAATTACCAATTCTGGCGCGAAAGAGATTAATGTAACAACAAAATAACGATTTTGCAGAATTGAGCGAAATTGTATTTACTAAATACTAAGTACAAAGCATATATGTATGTAGGTATTTATGTTGCAGTACGAGTAAATACCAAAGCACTTTTTACTTACATAAGTATTTTGGATGTTACTAAATACTGAGTATTAAAGAATTTAGTTAGTTAGTTTCACCTAACGAAAGCTTGCGTATAACTGTACTTGGTGGCTTTTTCATCACTAACTAATGTATACAAAAGTATTCAGTACTTATGAGTTAGAGGGCTGCATGAATGCATTCAAAAGGGCTTATGAATTATTCATATACAAAACGAATGAATGATTTTGGCTTAAATTTTTTCTGAATTTGAGTGAATAGCTCTGTTCTGATATTTGTGTCGACATTACAATATGCAAACAAAATGAAAATAAATTGATTTGAAATAAATGACAATTTTTTTGTTTGGATGAATTCATGCAGCCCTCTATTATGAATTGATTAAATATGAAATATTTGCTTTTTATTCATCATGAAACTCTTTCCCAATGAAGTCTCATGAATGAAAAATCGTGTTTTTATTTTGTTAAAAAAAAAAACTCTAGATTAGCTCACCAGCAAATGCTGACCTAGTTGCCTGCAGAGTGGTGCACCGTGCACGTACTAGAACTGCATACATATACTGGACCATAAATCGGTTTTTTTTTTGGTCCCTCGATGCCCCTCGTATCCCATTCCTATGTAGAATCGCTCGTTGATTCTGAAAATGGAGTTAATTTTTTACTATGAGACAAGCTTTCTAGATATTTTCAATTTAACGTTATTCAGCTTTAAAAAAAAAAGTCTTTGCACTTAATCTCGTAAGAATGTTACTCATATGGAAATGGCCTATGAGTAATATTCTTCCCTGCTCATATTTTATGCAAAAAAATCCTCGCACATTTTCATTTGACCATTCATTTCTTTATTATTTATCCATCCATTAGTAGCTTGATTTTTTGTTAGATAGAATAGGCTTTAACACAAATTAAAAAGTTGACTCAGGCTCTGTCTTTTTTTAATCGTTTCCCTGTGTCATTGAAAGGTACTTGTTCAATATTATTACTATGCATATTGCGATTCGTATTCGATTTGGTAGTATATTGATCTCGTTCTTAGATATACAAATAATTATTCAATCAAAAGCATATTGAAAAAAAAAATAAAATCTTGTTTCAATAAACTGATCCGGTAACAAATTTTTGTTGATTGTTAACACTCGTGAAAGCTTTGCGTGAATCTCGGACGAAAAATGGAAAGCGCTAGTGATTTATGTGACAATTTTGGATGGATTCAGATTACAATGATGAAAATACTGGTAGAGTGTGTATGTGAAACCTACTTATGGTGCTCCAGAAACTAGAATTATTTCCAGGAAAGTAAAAAAAAAAACTGCTTAAAGGTCACTCTAAATAAAACAACATTTTTCTTTGCTTTTGTGTAATTTGAATTAGTAAAAATTATTTTATTTTTTTCAAGCAGTTGCAACAGGATACTTTTCACAAGTGGAAGAAAGTTTTTCAAAGAAGTATATCAAAAGGTATACTAAACTATTTTCTGTTGTATGATTTAATTAAAATACATTTTTTTTAAGAGTGAAAATGGTTCTCTTATCGCATCTTGCTTGAAATGTAAAAAGAAAATAAAAGGAACTTTTCGAATCAGTTCTAACTTGTATCACGCATTTAAAACTTCTGCATATCGAAAGTTTTCATGAATTTTTGGAATATAAAGCTCAAAAAAAAACAGCTCTAGTTCAATTTGCAAGGTGTCAAATAAGCAAAATACATTTAATAAAAAAGTTCTTGCTTTCATCGCCAGCACGATCTCACTCACCCCTGTTGATTGTCGAGAATAGAGAGTTTATAGAGATTTTTGAGGGGACAGGCTACAAGG